GTGTGTGTGTGTGTGTGTGTGTAGTAGTAGTACGTATATATATATATATATATATATGTAGTGTGTGTGTGTGTGTGTGTACATGAGTGCGAATACACGGCTATAGCCAGTATATTGTGCGGTATCTGTACGCTATGGTTCGTTTCCTTTTTCTCGCCCTTGTGCTCGTTGCCGTAGTCCGTGGGTTGTGGGTTGGGCTGATGCACACTTCAAATTTTCTTATAACTAGATGTATGCCATGAGTGGTTTGTCTGTAAACACCCCTCGTACTAGAACCAATGATCCGTCTATATATTTGACTAGATTTAATCTTCCACTGTATTTGTTCGCCTGTATACAGACCCACGTTCCCACCACTGACCGGGTATCCATACACCTACCTACATCTAGAGAATACCTATCATTGCCATACACACACGTAGTACTGTGTATAGGAATCAACAGACTAGGCTGTACACCACTGTGTTTGCGTAATCAACCTGTGCTGGTCCTGCTTAGCCGAGCATTAGCGATCACACGAGCCTATCACGACAGACCCCATCCCACCCGACACTCTCATCTCATGCCCACACGCGCGTAGGTAACCCGCATTCAAAACACGCACACACCCGATCGCCCCATACAATACACACACACACACACCTTCTCACGAGTGGATTCATTTAGTACCTCACCTACACTTCCCTATATGACCTGCCTGTGCTTGTAGGGGTACTCTTGGCGCCCATGTCACTGCTGTGGTGTGTGTGTCTGTATCTGCCCTTAGCTGCGCTGCTGCTGCCGTCGTCTATGCTGCTCAATGACGTGCCGGTGGGTGTGCTCTTGGCCACGCTCTCGTCGGTGATGGACGGACCCTTTCTGGAACAGGCCAAGATACTTCTAGACACACACTACACGGGTAAACCTGTACAGTGGGAGTGTTGGGTGTGTGGTGTACGTGTTTGTATGATACTTAACTAAGGTTTCAGTTTATGTACGCCTGCTGGTACGTATACTCGCCACATCGAAATCTATAAGTTATGTTATTGCATTCAACCTGTTTAACGTATACCCAGTGCTCATGTGTATATGTCTCGAACGTATCACCATCAGTACTTCATATGGCCTTCCCTTAACTGCACAGCGATGCTCAGAATACACATCTCAACACACACATGCATGCATACATAATGGCTTTACAAACAAGTACACGTTTGTGTATACATGTCGGCAATACATGCATATCATAGTCTTGTACAATACCATCTCTCCTCTCACTCACTGCTTAGTAACGCTGGCCGGCCTGTTGTGTCTTGTGGTGGCTATGAACTACATGTTCACACGGTTCTGGATGTTCTACATGAAGACATTAAACCGCAATGGGAGGATAGCCATAGGCTGCATACATGCTGTAGCCATGTACATGCTCATGGTTTACTTGCATGTGATCGCTCAGGTGAGACCTGAGTCGTGTATGTCGTCTGTGCTATATATATATATATATATATATATGTGTGTGTGTGTGTGTGCGTGTGTGCGAGTGTGTGCGAGTTGGTGGGTGGGTGTGTGTGTGGGGGTAGTTGCATTATTTATTACATCTGTATATAAAAGTATACTACACTTCACTTTTTGTGTAGTTGGAATATTAACTGCATCTGTATATACAAGGACAACGCACATTGGGCTGTTTGAGTCTCAGTTAAAAGTGCTAAAGTCATACCTGAGGTCTATTATATCCCATGAATCCAAAAAAGGAAGCCTAGCGTGCCCTTTCTCTTGCACATACAGCAGTATCATTAATGTTTATTTAGTTATATACCATACATTCAGGAAAAGAGGCACATTCTGATAAAACGGATGCACATACAAGCGAATAAGCATGTTTTACTATTATATACCACAC